GGGCCAGACCATGGCTCACTCGGGAGAGTGCGGTGCTGGTAGCACCAAGGCCATAGGTTCGGATCCTATATAGGGATGACCGGTTCGCTCACTGGCTGAGTGTGGTGCTGACAACACCAAGTCAGGGGTTAATATCCTCTTACCAGTCATCTTTAAAAAAAAAAAAAAAAAGTTTTTATATCTTAGAGATACATAATGATGACTTTCAGGTTGATATGATAGAATTGCTTCAAAATAATGAATAAAGGAAATAATACTGACCATGTATTGATAATGTTGAATTGGGTATGGCTACATAGAGAGTTTAGTACTCTAATTCTGTATGTTTTGGGGAGAAAAAGCAAACAGCAGTCATATATGCATATAACACATGGACTGCTGGCAATTTTCTGAAGCCAGCACTTACCATATAAATAAGGCAGAAAATGCCTACATTTCTATCATCATTTTGATGACTCCCAAATTAAAACTAGTAAAACACTTTACAGTAGATGTCACACACTATAACTACTAATTTATTTTATTTTATTTATTTATTTTTTATTTTTATTTTTTTTTTTAAAGATGACCGGTAAGGAGATCTCAACCCTTGACTTGGTGTTCTCAGCACCACGCTCAGCCAGTGAGCGAACTGGCCATCCATATATAGGATCCGAACCCGTGGCCTTGGTGTTATTAGCACCGCACTCTCCCGAGTGAGCCACAGGCCGGCCCAATAACTACTAATTTTTTGCTTTTAATTTTCCCTTCCCAATTCTGAACCCTTTTTAGATAAACTAAAAAGTTCACAAGTAAAAATGTGGATAAAAGCCTTGTTTTTTCTTTTCTAAACAACTTTTCAGTATCAATGACAATATGTTAACATTCCAAAGATTTTAGAAAAGAACACTTAGTTCGACTCCTTTCATAAATTATTAAACCTTCACAGAACAGAGGGTATGGTTGAATTTTTTTTTTTTTTTTCTTTTTCGTGACCGGTAAGGGGATTGCAACCCTTGGTGTGATGTCACCCACACCGCGCTCAGCCAGTGAGCGCACTGGCCATTCCTATATAGGATCCGAACCCGCGGGGGCGGGGAGAGCGTCGCTGTGCTCCCAGAGCCGCACTCTCCCGAGTGCGCCACGGGCTCGGCCCGGTATGATTGAATTTGATAAGTTCTTTGATGAAAGAAATCTCATCTCAGATATTATTAGAATCAGAGTTAAGCCAACAATTAAGTAATTTCACTTTCAGTTTTAGAGCTGGAATGTAAAAACCTCAATTTGAACTACAAAATTCCTATTATATTACATAAAAAAAATAAAATCTCCAGACCAGACTTTACAATTCCCTACCATCTTCTAATAATGACTACTGTAAATGCCTTCTCTGGCAAACACTGAAATCTTCCCAAGCGGACGCTAACTGAAGGGTACTCACCCTAGGCAGTTACAATCATATGCTTTCCTCATTACCGCAGTTGTTAAGGACTAACCAAGCAGAGCAGATACAAACTGCTCAATAAAAAAATACCAATAATCTCAGGCAAATGCAAAATACAAAAATATAAGAGGTGGGGTTAGGAAAATAATAAACAGGTAAACGAGGTGGGAGGGTGAGTCAATGAATCCTCGAACAGTATTAAAGCTGTTTCACTTAGCTGAAAACTACTCTCTATCTCTCAGATCCAGAGGTAGCAATCTACAAAGTTGGAAATGCCTGTAAAGAATTAACCCCAGTAAAGCGCTTTCTGAGATTCAACCTTGGTGGTGTTTGCATATGTTAACATTCCAAATAAATGACTGATGAGTTGCACCACAGATGCACCCTTCACTTAAAACCTAGCTCCCCAGGTGTTACTTGCTCTCACACCACTGATTGTGAAGAGTAGGGAGAAAAACATAACAGTATTAGAAGCTACTACCAAACTAATACCAATTACAATTTAATTGTGCACATCTGCACAATTAAAGCCCGGGACTGACCAAGATGGGTCAAGAAGCACTAGTTCACAAACTTTAAAATGCATAAGAGGAGCCATTTTTTTAAAATGAAGGTTTTTGGATCTTTCCCCCAAACCTACAGAATCAGTCACTTTGGAGGGTGAGATACAGAAATCTGCATTTAAAACAAATTCCACAAGTCAGTCAAATACTGACTGGAACTACAGATACTTTTAATGCTAAGGTAAAATTTCCAATTTGACCGTTAAATATCTACAGATGCCACAACAACTGGAGTTTTAATACACTGTTGCTTCCTTCTTTTGCTATTTATTGATCCCTATTCCAAAGGAAAACAAAAGAACCCTGCCCAGCTGAAATGGCTTTTTCCATTTAGTACAAGTGTGGCAAAGAAAAATTTCCAAATAGAATAGGAATGCAAGGGCCGGCCCGTGGCTCACTTGGGAGAGTGTGGTGCTGATAACATCAAGGCCACGGGTTCAGATCCCCTTACCGGTCATCCTTTAAAAAAAAAAAAAAAAAAAGAATAGGAATGCAAAAGTGTTTTGAAATATCAGGCTACAGTGGTGGTGAGTCCTTTACAGAGTATGCTGGGTTTGCCCATCCCTTCAAGATTAGCACTAACAGCCAACAGCGTATGAATATGTAAATGATCCGGAAATAATATCAAAGGCCTCCCTTGCTTTATTTCCTACAGTAATTCCACTTATTTAGAAGAGGCCATATACTTTGTCCCTAGTTGACACCACAAACCTTTTCCCTGCAGACATGAATCTGAAATGCAAGTAACTGACTTGAATTCCTAGAATCTAGAACCAAGTACAATCTGTCATTAAAGACATGAAGTATTTTGGTGACAAACAAGTTAAAATCAGTGAAAAGCACTAAAACTGAACGGAAAGCTGATACAGCTGAGATGACTTAAAACCTAAATTGCTATTCTGAGCCTCATCATTACAAAGTTATAAACCCATCACATACAATGCAATGTGGCGATAAATTACCACTGCAAACAGTTTCTTCATAAGAGTTCAAACCTAATGGAGTAGACTGGCCAGTTAGCTCAGTTGGTTAGAGCATAGCCTTACAACACTGAGATCAAGGGTTCGGATCCCCCCCACCAGCCAGCTGGGGGGGAGGGGAGAATGAATGAGGCAGAGACATAAGGCTGCTCCAGTTGATGAGTAGCGCATCAAAAGCATTTTTCTCTTTAATCCAAAATATACAATGTCCTATTTGCACGTCAGCTGAATCATAATGTTTTGTTTTGTTACATTTGCAAAGCTTAGATTGAAAGGTTACTGAGACAGGCGGTAAAAAAACATTTTGAAAAAGTTACTTCACCATGACAAAGAGATGCCTAAAAAGAAAAGTGTCAAGATAAGCAACAAAGTTACTCTTAGTTTCTTACTGTAACAAATGAGGGGAGAAACTACACGTCGAGGAAAAAAGAAAAACCTCTTTAAAGATTCACAGCTCGAAATCAATGACAATGGTTTTAATGAATATGACAAATGCTCTACATAATGAATTCTAGTATAAGAACACTTCACTCCACTGGCTAAAGTTGTATTGGTAAGGGCTGGCCCATGGCTCACTCGGGAGAGTGTGGTGCTGATAACACCAAGGCCACGGGTTCGGATCCTATATAGGGATGGCCGGTTGGCTCACTGGCTGAGCGTGGTGCTGACAACACCAAGCCAAGGGTTAAGATCCCCTTACCGGTCATCTTTAAAAAATAAAATAAAATAAAGTTGTATTGGTAGCACCCCAATACAACTTCAGCCAAACAAGCTTTTATTTTTTTAGGGTACTAAAAGGACTCATCTAGCACCAACTTGTTTTCGTGCATTACAAAAGAAATTTTTCTTTAACCAAAGCCTATGTTTAGAAATAGAGTAAGAACTTTTTTTAAAAGCACATCTGTTGAACTATTTATTCATATTTTGACTGACAATTGCTTTAAAATCCCCGTGTTTGATTATAAGTCCAACCAATTAAAATTACACTGCACGTTCTAAACTAGACCGAAATACCTGAAACACATTTGCAGGGAGCCAGTTTGATACAAATGTGGAAAGTAAACAGGACTACAAAGATTAGGTTTAGTTTAGCCACTTGCCAAGAGACTTTCGGTGAGCCTCTCAAGTCACACCTGGGAAAGTGGGATTATACTATTTACCCTTACTCATAGGTTAAGAGGATCAAATGAGTTTTATGTGAAAGAAAAAACCTTGGCAACCATCTACATGGGGGACTTATTAGAACATACTGCTATCAGATAATATTTGTAAATCATTATAGTCAATCAACCATATCTTCCCGTATAAGCGCCGAAATCAAACCAGTATTGAAATAAGATTCTGCCACGATTTTTACCACTAATCCTGGTCAGAAATTTCAGTCTAAATACGACGCTCAGCCCAGATAGCGGAAGAATTTGCCCTTATCCCTATTTCATAATAAGGTGAAAACTCGGAGCCGCTAGACGTAATAAAATGCTCCTATTCCTCCATTCCCGCGTTTCCCCGCCTCATCAAGGTGCTTTTCAAATTCTGCCAAAGGCTCTCGCGGACTTTCTAGCTACTAGAACAATAAAACAAATCACCTCTTATCCCCGGGTCGGGACGAAATCCTCCCTCCTGGACCAACCTCCCGGCTCCCTCGGCCACAGGCTCGGACGCTCGACCCCGGCGCGACCCTAGCCCCAAATCGCGCGGCGGCCCGGCGGGCCCTGGCCCGCGCCGCTTCCCTCCCCCCGGCCCGGGGCACAGGCCCAAGGCCCGCGGGACTTACGCTCTCGTGGTCCCACCGCACGTTGCTGCGCTTCTCGTCCGGGGCGAGGTTTCGGTCCCGGCCCATTAACTCATCCAACAACTGCGCGGCCGAAATCATGGTGCTTCCTTCGGGCGGCTACTCCCACCAGCCCTGGCACCCACCAACGAAAACGCCGGCGACACCGCCGCCAACCTCCTCGGCCCGCTTTCAGGCCCAAAAGCCTCTCCTCCAAAGCAGCCGACAAGACAAAATGGCCGCCGCGCGGGCGCCTTCCCAGCATGCCGTGCGTCCGCGCGGACACGCCCAGGCCTGAGCGGCGAGGGCGGGCCCGGCTTCCGCGGCCGCCGGCGGGGCCTGCCAGGGCCGCACGGTAGTCATCTTGGTGACCGCAGACCTCCTGCCTCCCCAGGTGCCCGGCCTTCCCCGGCTTTTTCACACTGGGAAACAGGAGCCTACGTCTAGAAGCTTGTACACCGCTCCGAAATGGAGAAAAAGGCAGTGTCTCCCTTTGCGCCACATGGTGCCACCTTCTAGGGGCGAAACCGCAGATCAGTGCTCTGATTCCGTGTTTCGACTCCATTTTTCTACTTTCTGCGCGCGGCGCCTCTTCTACCTGGCTTTGTCATCCTACCTTGATTCCCCTGACTCGCAGGGTAGGAAATCAAGATAGGAAGCGACAAGGCGGTTTCTACAGTGTCACGTGGAGTATGAGGATTCAGTCCTACAACTGTCTTCCAGCCTGGAATTTTTTTTTAATTATTGATTCATTTGTTTAACAAATAGCTGAGTACTTTCCATGTGCCAGGTACTGCTCAGAACCTTTCAGACACAGTCCTTGCTCCTGCAGACGTTGTGCCCTAGTGAGGGAGACAATGGTAATATAAATTGGGATAATACTCTAGCGCAGTTAAGGGCATGGACTCCAAACACAGATTTCCTGGGTTTGTAATCCTGGATCTGCCACTCTGCCTTTGTTTTCTCATCTGGTAAATGAGATTTATACTAGTCATCTCCTCCCCCCGCCCCCTACCCGCACATGGTGTTATTGTGAAGATTAAATGAATTGATACAATGTAAGGCCCTACACATTGATACATTTTAAGTTCATTTAATCATTAGCTGTTATGATGATGATGGGGAAAGAAAGGTGCTGTCAAGGAGTCACAGGCTTCTCTGTGGAAATGACTAGACCTAAAAGATAAAGATCCAGCCAAGTGAAGTGGACAGAAAAGAATTCACAGCAGAGAGAGTAGTATATATCAGTCATATTTCATGATATGAAACAATTGTTCATCATTATTTAGATATGTATTTTTTTTTTTTTTTTAAGATGACCGGTAAGGGGATCTTAACCCTTGACTTGGTGTTGTCAGCACCACGCTCAACCAGTGAGCTAACCGGCCATCCCTATATGGGATCCGAACCCGTGGCCTTAGTGTTATCAGCACCGCACTCACCCGAGTGAGCCATGGGCAGGCCCCAAGATATGTATTTAAAACTAAACTAAAACTAGTGGTCTTGGGTATGCAGGCAGCTCATTAAATCACCTGAGGATGCCAAACATGTGAGAGACGCTGTTTTAGACTTGGATAGAGAAGAAACCAGCAAAGGATACTGTGAAGGAGAACCCAGAGAGATCAAAGGAAAATCTGATAAGTTTAGTCAAGGAAGACAAAAAGGAGAAAATGTTTTGTTAGAGGGTGAACAAAACCAATGCCATCTTGTGCCCCACTTACCATGTTGACTCCTGCTCAACCTTATTCCTTTGTTTCACTGACCAGTCACACCTTTTTTTTTTTTTTTTAAAAGATGACCGGTAAGGGGATCTTAACCCTTGACTTGTCAGCACCACGCTCAGCCAGTGAGCGAACCGGCCATCCCTATGTGGGATCCGAACACGGGGCCTTCGTGTTATCAGCACCACACTCTCCCGAGTGAGCCACGGGCCGGCCCGACCAGTCACACCTTAATGTTAGGGCAAATGTAAAGGGAACACAGGTTTCAGGGAGAGAGTAATTCATTACAACAGGTGGTGTTAGTGGCCTGAGCCCAGACATCGCAAGACCCCTGCCTTGTGGATCACAAGATGCCTGATGAATGATTTTATACCTTATTTTTCTTAAGATGGTTCTTTGAAGTTATTCTTAGTAACATGGGCTTTTGCTATATAAACATTGTCTAACCTGAAGAGAGAGAGAGCTCTCATCTGCTGATGTCTGATTCTTCACTGCATCCTACTCCTGTCTGTAAGTCACCCCAACTGATAAATATATCTGATTACCAAATGGACCTGCCTGCTTCCTTTTTCAGTCTCCAAGTACCTTCTCAATTTGGAGGGCATTATACTTTAACCCCCTCCTTGCACATGTTTCAAGAAAGCAAAAGTGATCAACATTGTAGAAAACTGCTGAAGGTCTGCTAGGAGAGAACTGAAAAGTATTCATAAGGTCTTATAGTTGGAAGCCAGACTAGAATGGGTTGAAGAATGAAGGGAAATTCTGAAGTAAAATGGTGGTTGGACAGCTCTTTTAAGAAGGAAAGCAGCAAAATAAGGTTAGAATTAAAAGGAGGGATGGGTGGGCCGGCCTGTGGCTCACTCGGGAGAGTGCGGTGCTGATAGCACCAGGGCCACGGGTTCGGATCCCATATAGGGATGGCCGGTTCGCTCACTGGGTGAGCGTGGTGCTGACAACACCAAGTCAAGGGTTAAGATCCCCTTACCGGTCATCTTGTGGCTCACTCGGTAGAGTGCGGTGCTGATAACACCAAGGCCATGGGTTCGGATCCCATATAGGGATGGCCGGTTCGCTCACTGGGTGAGCGTGGTGCTGACAACACCAAGTCAAGGGTTAAGATCCCCTTACCGGTCATCTTTTTAAAAAAAAAAAAAAAAAAAAAAAGGAGGGATGGGTGATGGGAGGCCTTTTAAAGATATAAGATGAGGGTATGTTTAATGTTGGGAATAATTCAGTAGAGAGGTGGAAGATAATAGAAGGGCATGGCTAAAGGTTTAAGTTCTTGAAAAGGTGAGGGGGTAGACTCCAGAGCATATTTGAAATTATTAGCCTTTGTTAGGAGAAAGGACCTTTCTCCACTGAAACAAGAAAGAAAAAGATACAAATCAGTTTGTAGATTTAGCAGTGAGATGAGGAAGTTCTCAGCCGTTGGCTATTGTTTTCTAAATGAAGCATTTGTCGAAGGTTCTTCACTGCCACTACCACCAAAAAGAAAGAAAAAAGAAGTATATGTTATAAACCACAAACAGGACATATACAACCTGATTGCAAAGTTGCGGCTTCTTTTTTTTTTTTCCTTTTTGTCTTTTTTCGTGACCGGTAACGGGATCGCAACCCTCGGTGTCGCGCCCGCACCGCGCTCAACCAGTGAGCAGACCGGTCTCTATATGGGATCCGAACCCCCGCCGCCGCGCTCGCAAGCGCCGCACTCTACCGAGTGCACCACCGGGCCGGCCCAAAGTTGCAGCTTCTATCCACTAAAACTTTTTAATCTATTTATCTCACTCATTCTATAAACTATAATGAGAGGTGTGCTCTGTCCCAGGAGCTGGGTTAATGGCTGGTAATACAAAGATAGATGTATGAAACCTGGTTCTCAGGGAGCTCCTGACTTATGGGAGACAAAAATGTAACTATAACCACAATTTGGTATTGAAATGAAAATTCTAAATGCCTTTGGATCACAGAGGTGAGAGCTCCTGACCCAGTCACATACTAGGCAAATCTTATTCTACACTCTCCTCTTCCTACATTCTAAGGACAGCTACAGTTCAGTGGTTATCACCACTGCAGGTAACAAATTCCTTCATTTATCCTTCATTAATCCAATTAGCTTTAGTGTCATCTGCATCAGACTCCCTGCTGGGCCTAGGGAAGTAAGAGGTAAAAGTAATCTTTATTAGCAGATCACAATGCCCAGTTTAGAGATAATTTTGATGAATTACATGAGTTCGTTATTTTCTAATGATGGGATAGAAAACAACTTAATCTTATCAGCCAGTGGTCTCCAGACCCCATCTCATACCTGTTACTAGTAGAAAATATTGTGGGCTGGGGCCGGCCCATGGCTCACTCGGGAGAATGCGGTGCTGATAACACCAAGGCCACGGGTTCGAATCCTATATAGGGATGGCCAGTTAGCTCACTTGGGAGAGTGTGCTGCTGACAACACGAAGCCAAGGGTTAAGATCCCCTTACTGGTCATCTTAAAAAAAAAAAAAGAAAGAAAGAAAAAGAAAATATTGTGGGCTGAACTGTGTCCACCCTCACCCAAAATTCCTACATTGGGCCGGCCCGTGGCTCATTCGGTAGAGTGCGGTGCTGATAACACCAAGGCCATGGGTTCGGATCCCATATAGGGATGGCCGGTTCACTCACTGGGTGAGCGTGGTGCTGACAACACCAAGTTAAGGGTTAAAATCCCCTTACCGGTCATCTTTTTTTAAAAAAAAAAAACAAAAAAAAACAAAAAACAAAATTCCTACATTGAAACCCTAGCCTCCAGTACCTCAGAATGTGACTGTTTTCAGAGCTAGGGACTTTGAAGAGGTGATTAAGTAAAAATGAAGCCATTAGGGTGGGCTGAAATATAATCTGACTCGTTCCTTTATACGAAGAGGAAATTTGGGCACACAAAGAGACACCGGGGATGCACTTGCACAGAGAAAAGGCCATGTGAGGACACAGTGAGAAGAGGGTCTCCTGCAAGCCCAGGACAGAGGTCTCAGGAGATACCAAACCTACTGACACCTAGATCTTGGACTTTTAGTCTCCAGGACTGTGAGAAAATAAATCACTCTTGTTTAAGCCACCCAGTCTATGGTATTTCATTATGGCAGTACTAGCAAACTAATATAGAAAAGAAGCCACAGTTACTACAGGCCTCCTGTGATTCCATCATCCATCTATCTTGCTGCCTCAGTCATCTATTTAAAAGTAAATCTGGTCTCTTCCCACTGAAAATCCTTCAATGGCTCCCCATCACCTCCACCCTAAGGTTTAAAGGCCACAACATGGCCCATGGTATGACCAGCTTCTCCAACTTCATCTGCTACTGCTCCCCACACCCTGCACACCCTTGCTTCCTACATTACACCACTTACCTTGCTCCAGGCATGGCATGCTCTTCCTCTACCCCAGCACCTCCTACCCATCTTTCAGTTCACAGTGTAAGCTTGACCAGCTCAACCTGGACCCTGATCCTCCACCCACCATACACAACTGATCACCCTCTTCTTTGTGACACCATTGTACCTTAAACATCCTTGCACATTTTTGGGTTTGTCACTTGACATTGCAAACATCAGCCTCTTTCTTTAGAATGAAAGTTCCTTTAGGTCAGGTGCCATTTCTT